TTAAAAATATATTTTTAATCTGTTAGTTTAAAAATTACAAACCTAAACATCCTACAGTATTTTTACAGTCTTTATTTTACAGTTAAAATATATGTTTATCAAATAAAGTCTGATGTTACAACTAATCATGGGTCCCTTTAAAACTTGTTGGTTTTCAAAGAGACATTTTGATGTTTGCAGTGAGTTTCGTTAATCTGACTTTTTACCGCCTGTTGCACAGGTTAGCTGGAGACAGGTGTGCACAGGTGTGCATGTTTCCTCAGCCCACCTGTTGATGTGATGCTCAGGTGTGGAAGTAGCTCTGTGTACTTTGAGCATGAAATCCAGGTAAATTAGTTTAGTCTGACAGCTTTGTGGGGCCAAACTAATCTGTGAAAGGGCCACATTTGGCCCACAGCCCTGCTGTTGAAAAGCAGTCACATGGAGGTCTGTGAGGAGCCTGGTCCTGTGCCCAACTGGACCAAACAGACCCCAGAACAACCTCAGCGGTTCTGGTCCTGTGCCCAACTGGACCAAACAGACCCCAGAACAACCTCAGCGGTTCTGGTCCTGAAGAGTTTAGTCCCTCAGGCTCCCACACCTGTGGTTCAGGTCCTGGACTCAGGACCAGAACTTGAAGTGTTCAGATAGAATCCACTTTGGGTTTCTTGTTCAGGGCCACAGCCACCAAAATGTATCATAATCCGCCAGGACACTTATTTTGAAAGTCTGAAGCGGAAGTGTTGTCGTTCCCGTTGTTCCGGTGAGAGCAGAGATTTGAGTTTTGGAAAGTGGACTCGTTCGGTTCTGATACCGCTCGGTTTATCCGGAGAAAGAAAGAGGTTTGGAATAAAAGCTGCTGTCGRAACCAGGAGCTCCTCTCGGCTCGGTTCGGTTCGGTAGGTGTTGTGGTCCCGGTGATAACAGCAAGGTTCGGTTCGGACCCACGGTGGAGGATGAGATGTTCTGTTTGGACCCTGAGCTCCAACATGTGAGGATGAAGCAGGTAAAGCACCAGAACACACCGAACCCAACAGAACCAAATGTTTTTATCTGGGAACTAAAACCCGCTCGGAACCGACCCAGCCCGGTGTTTATAGAAGACCGTTAAACTGCGAGCTGGACCAGGGCCTGGACGGGTTTCAGCTCTGTTAGCTCACAGTCCGAACCGAACCGACACCTACAGCTGTTTATMTGAAGGTTCGGTCCAGTTTGGCGCCCGAACCAGGAAGATTGGTTCCAGAAACTAATCTAAACAAACATAGACCTGGTTCT